ATGATTTACAATTTATGCACATTTGTTTATCAATTTCATCGTGTTTTTGTAAAATGGAAAATTTTATGATATCATTTATATATTAAATTCACTGTTTCATTTATCATTTTGCTTTTCACTTATCTTATTCCTTTTATTTGGAAAATTAATTAAATTGCTAAAAAAAATTTATTTAACTTATTTCACTATTAATTTCTTATCATTTTATCTATATTAAAAAGGAAGCAAAATTGTAAAATTTTGCACCATTTCGAATCATCTTCTTTACAGGTCATAAATGTTTCACATAATTGGTTACAAACTGCACGTTTAAATGCCAATATCGATGATGTTAACATTGATAACAGTGCTGATGCAACACTGAAATGTAACAACAAAGCGGAACAATTGATAATACTCGATTTAAGCTATAATCAAATTCGATCAATCAATGATAATGATTTAATACAACTAGTCGCCATACGACAACTTTTATTAGCTAATAATCAAATTACTCTTATTAATCGTAATGCATTAAAAGTTTGCGCATTATTACAACAATTACATGTGGGAAATAATAGCATCGAAGAATTACCTGTTATGCCAGGTATGCAATATATATTATCATATTATTATCATTTTTTTTTTTTGAAAAATAGAATAATTGAATAAAATATGAATGTAAATAATCGTATAACATAACTATTGGTAATGATTAAAAAACTGCGGGAATGGAACATATTTTTGACTAAATGACCTCGGATGAAACTTTCAATCTTTCCTTCATCAATGATCAATCGAAGATACGATCTCTATCATTTCGTTTTAAATATGCAATTAATTAACCATTAAAATAAGTTTTGTGAATATAAAATGAAATTAACAACCAATGAAAAAGGGAATAAAACGATAGATTTATAAAAGAAGTTAAAATAAAATTAATGAAATAAGCAATGTAAATAATTGTTAGTTGAAATGAAAAAATTAATAAATGGAAAAAAAGAAGAATAAATACTTATGTTAGTAAATAAAAAAGTAATTAAACATACAATTAAGAATCAAATAATTTATATTTTATCTAATAATTAAGGAAATAGGATTTTAATATATGTATAAAAATAAATATATGGAAAATTAAATATAATAAGTAATGGAATGAATAAATTATTGGAAAAAATTAATGAAATGAAATAATTAACGAATGAATTAAAGTTCAATTTTTCGTTTGTTTACTTTTCAGAAACATTAATTCATTTGGATGTTGCCTGCAATCGTCTAAATATTATTCCATCAACAATAGCTAATTTACCAAATTTATTATTTCTGAATATTAGTGGAAATGCTATCGACGAAAATACTCCATTTCCCATTATCAGTTCAACTCTGCAAACTGTTGACCTCAGTCGAAATCGATTTGAATTCATCCCAGAAAATTTATTTACAAATAGTGCACAACAATTGCAACATTTTCTGCTCAGTTATAATCGAATTACACAATTGGAATCATTATTCTTTCAGAATTATTCAAATTTGCTAACTGTAAGTTTATTTTTCAATTACCAAATTATCTTTATTCATTTGTTTAATTATTTATCAAATTTTTTTAGTAGCGCATTTATCGTCAATTTCAAATCTTTCTTTTTTTTTCTTCCTTCTTTTTTCTGTTTTGTTATTTTAAGACAAATGAAATATTAGTTTAGATAGTTCGATCATTTCTCTCTCATTTAAATTTAATTAGTTTAAAAGAAAAAAAAAGGGAATTTATTCATCCATCTTCTTCTCTATCACCGAAAAAAAAAGAAAAAGTCAACGTATCTTTTTCCAGCAAGGAGCAAAAATTTTGAAATAAATCAAAAATTAACATTGTTTTAACCTTGTGCTCTCTTTTTTTCTTTTTCTTCTTGAAACCATTTCATTTTTCTCCCTCTCTCTCTCTCTCTCTCTCTCTCTCTC